AACACAGATGCAACACAGCAGAGATGGAAAATAAAACACGAGTCAAAAAGAAGAGGGGAGAAAAAAAAGGACACATGGGGGGAAAGCAATGGCTACAAAGACAGCATGACAAATTAAGATACTGCAATATATGACTTTCAGTAAGCAAGAGCAGTAGTTGTGTTAGATAGTAAGAGCTCACACATGCTGGAGGATTAACTTTTACAGACACATAAAATAATGATTTTTGTAATTATCAGTGCTGTTAATTGAGGTCAGCTGCGGCATAAACCGAACAAGGGTGGTGGTCTAATAAAATTGTTAAGCTCTGCGTGAATTTAACAAAAACCTCAACTAACTGAATAAAATCAGTCATGTGGTTCAGAAAGTAAGTTTCCCAATGCAACTCTAGTAAGAGTGAGTGAGTGAAACATAACTTTAACTAAGAGAAAAACACATTTTAGAGTAAAATGTGTTTATTTTACTGTAGTTTTACTGTGGCATCGTATCGCTGCTGAACCACAAAGCGTAGATGCAAAGAAGCCGTTTATTCAGCAGGATTTTGAAAATCCAAAGCAACAGAATGAGCGATGTCACCCTTTTGTTCCAGTCAGAGTTTCTTTTTCAAAACGATGAGACTTACAGTACTTAATGGATTTATTAGGCCACCTGTCATAAAAATAAGGAAGCACAAATATTTTAGAAATCTCTCAAATTATTTACTAGGCAATTAACAACTGAATTAATGTCTTTCTACCCAAACTTGAGCCGGCACACTGAATTCATCCGAGAAGTCAGAAATTAATTAATGATAATAGTGGAACACTAAGACCATTTTTTCTGTTTAGAAATCCAAGCAAATGACTGTAATTTGTCATCTTAATCAAAGAATAATAATAGGTTTTACTATTTTTCCCCGCTTTTAAAAAAATAGGGAATTTGAAAAATCATTGATAATAGCAATGATAATAATTTAGCACTAAAAACATAATTTTGATTAAAGAGCTTGCACATACTGCTGGATTAACTGTTACATTGATAAATACCAATACAGTTCATATAGGAATTAATTTATGGAATTTTCCCACCTAGTAATTCTAGTAAGAGTGAGTCACCACCAAGACCAGCCCGATTTTAAAAGATAAATGCAACAGAATGAGCCTTTTTATCTCACCCGAGTTCTTCTTTTTCAAAACTAAGTAAGACGTATATACACATATATGTCTTGCAGAGGCCCATAGTGGCCACAGTTTAGTATAAACATTAAACTGGGACCACCGTTTACTTAGAATCATTTATTGGACTAACTGGCTGGTAAATAATTCATTCATTTTCTTTAATTCTCTTGAGTTTATGTCCTTGCCTGTTCTCGGACGTAGATGTCTGTAATATGGCAGCTTTGCTCTAGTTCCTGCTGCTTGAATAAAATATCAAAGTGCAATGAGCTATGAGATTCCCATGTTATTGTATGGCCTAGTTTATTCCATCTACTCAGCTCATGAAATCAGATTTCATATGGCTCGAAGTAAAAGCTGCTGTAACTGGCTCAGGTGCATGGCTTTAATGTGATGCGTTCACTCAGTTTTTAGATATCGTAGCCTTTCAATTTCACTATATTTTGAAACCTATCCACATAAAAAACCTCAGATTTAGTGACTATTTCTCAAAACGGCAGAAAAAAGTGGGTAATTTTTGATAACCTATAAAGAGCGGCTTGGTCTTTTGAGGAGGCGTAAAAGTCGTATCAAGTTTTTCTTTTCTTTTTTAACCCCACCACCTGGGATAAGAGGAGGTCAGAGCAATGAAACACCACAAAAAGAAAGACAGCCTTGTGCAAACACTAAGTGAAATATTCCTGTTTATTGTCGCTTCACAGTTGGTATAGCACAGCTGACAGCACAACCCACAGATAAAAGAAACAGGTCAAGTTTAGCTGAAGTGAAAAGGCACTGATTTGTTCTTTGGATTAGGTGTTTTTTTTGCCAGATTTATCTTACAATTTCAATCAAGATCAAGCAATGTTTAGTCTTTTTAATCATCTATCTGAACATTTATGCAGGAATGACCAATCCAGACTAAATTTAAATGCTCTTTTCCTCATTTAGAGCTTCCAATTTTTCTAATCTTTGAACAGCCGTACAGTGTTTGTTTGCATGCCTCCAAGAAAGAGGACTGGCAGAGTGGCTAGCTGAAGAAGTGGGCATTGTTGGCAAAGACTATATCAGTTGGAAGTTGCACGTTTCTTCCATGTTCTTGTGCGTCTTTACCCCAGTGGAGCATGGTCAGTGTTAAGTCGCTTACAGCATTGTTAGCTCCTCACATGGAAGCTTTTAATCCTCCTCCCAAACTCACAGAATGAGTCATTTAGAGATTTTTTTTTAACTGCGTGAATGTAATACCCTGTAAGGATAATGCGAAGAAAAAAGCCTCATCATGCCCACTGCACAGATGGTTTGTCAGAAATGTGCTCTCCCTGCACCAGTGCTTTGAATTAGTCCTGCCTCAGTGGTGTAGCTCACAGGGAGAAATCCACAACCTGCTACCCTTCCTCTGTTTCTTCACCTTCGCTGATTGATTCGCAAACACAGTAGGATACTTGGAAAGTAACTGGAAAGTACTTTGTGCTGCAGTAATAATAATAGCTTAGCTTACTTGAAGGCGTCACGTCCTATTAAAATGGATATTAAGTTAATGAGATTTTAAAATATGTGTTTTTTTTCACACAGATTAAAAATAATGAATCAAAAGTGCCTTGAGGAATTTTGTCTGTTAATACCTTTAAGTAATACAGTCATCCTGTTAATGTCATCATACTGACTTTTAGCTTTATTCGCCTAAACTGAGACACCTGTGATTACTCTTCTTTTGTAATAAATGTGAAAAAATGTTTTTAATACCTTATTTATTTGCTGCTCAGTAGCAGCCACAGATTGAAATAAAAATAATTTGCTGTTCTAGTTTTGTTAATTCAACAAGCTTAAATTTGCTTCCCTGAGAACCATTGCAGTAGCTCAGTAAGACAATTTGCAAACTGCAAGTAATGAGTGAAGTGGTTATGGTGACACTACACTACACATCAAAGTCTCGGCATGTTTTTAAAATATCTTGGTGTTGTGCTTCACAGACATGTGGTGATGCAGTATTTAATCAGTATTTAATTCAAAACAGTGTCTTTTCTACTCTGAGCACTACAAGCCACATTCACGTTGCACTCTTTTCTATGCCTTTAAAGTGGCTTTCACACCCACAGCTGGATGCCGAGGTGGAAAACTGAACCACTGACCTTATGATTGCTAGATGGACCCGAGTGCAAGACGAGCACGACCACACCTGACATTTCTAATTCTGCAGTTCAGTTTAAACTGCTATAATCTTCCTTTTCTCTCTACTATTATAAAAAATACAATTCACTTGTATTTTAATTTTTATTCCTATTTATTCTATTTATCCCCTTCGTATATTTTATTTTATTTATATATGTCTCTGTATTTATATATATGTGTGCGTGTGTATATAATATTCTGTAACTCTGTAACTTCTGTCGGTGCTGTGCTTTTGGAAACTGAATTTCCCACAGGAACCCACCCGAGGGATTAATAAAGTTTTATCTTATCTTATCTTATCTTACTAAAATGATCCTTTTCAGCTATTTTATGCATGTTGCCTCCAAATGAATGCAATGTGTTGAAGTAATGCTCCTGTTGGAGATCCTTGCTGTCTTCACTGCTTGTAAAAACAACAAATTAAAAAAAAAAATCCAGGTTCTCTCATTTGTTTGAATCAAACTTTAAACCCTGCAGACATGGAACCTTAAATGCACCGGGACTTTTCTGAATGCCACATGGCACTTGATCAATAAACACACTGAGGCAGTTTCACACGATGAATATGGTTTTAGAATACATAAAAAAAACAAACTAATTCACGGTGTCGTATACCACAGAGTCAGTTATTTTATTGGTTTCACTGAATTGCCACTATGCCTGCACAAGTCGATCCCTCTCACATGGCTGAGAACTAGGATTTTCCCTCATGAAGAGCACAAAACATTCTGCAGTCACGGCGTGTCGCCATCAGTCAAGTGAAGAGCTTAAACCAAGCTCATTTTAAATCTTATTTCTCCTTGTCTTGTGTAGCTGCCACAAGCAGTTTTGTGGTCTCTGCTGTCAAAACTGTCACATTATATAACATTAAATTGAATGCAAAGGATATTACTCTGTTCCTGCCACTGCTTCAAAAATTGAGGTGGACGTTGTCCTCGCTTTTTATCTTGTTGTTGACAAGAATGTTTGAATTAAGATGGGTTAATGTGAATGTTGCAGTTTACAGTTGGGTATGATATCAGTTTTCTAAACGTTCAGAGGAATGCATTTATTCATTCAACAATGCTTATTTTCAGCACAATATCAAAACCTTGCAGGATAATAAGTTACATTAATGATTGCATGGATTTGGAAAACTGCACAAATTAGTTAAATAAAGGAATAAAATTGATTAAATGAATACTTTAATTGGCCATCATAATAATACAAAGGCAGAAACATGCTGCTGTGTTCCCCCCTGCCCTCTATACATTTCCTAGTGTTAAAGAGATAACAAGAACCCACTGAATGCACAAGGAAGAACTTCAAAATGGAAAATGCAGTTCAAAGTTGATTATGGGGAGCGGGTTTTAAGAGATATGCAAATAAACTGACAGAGTAAGAGGCTTTGCATTTCCCCCCATGAATAAAAATTTGTATTGCTAAATTGGTATTCTGGGTGAGAGTCAGACGGATAGTAGTGCTCAACTTTGAACTGAGCTCTGAAGAAATTACAAGGATGGTTTAGCTTACCTACTTGGAAAACACTTTACAGTAACAGCAAATCACTGGTTTATGCCTGCTCTTGACTTAGCTGATTGCAGTGCTTTGGAATAATGAATATGCAAGATCTGTATTTATCTTTATAGCTCAACGTGCATTTTAAAACAATATGTTTGCGAGATTGCCAAAGCGTTACCGTTTTCTCTTTTCTTGCAGGGAGCGCTTACAGGGAATGTATGGATAACGGAACATGGGCGCTGAAGAGTAATTACTCCAACTGTGAACCCATTTTGGAGGAGAAGGTAGGTGACTGCAGGCGGGAGCGAATCCTGCAGTTCTTCAGAAAAACACTCATCATCGTCAGAAAAATTGCAATCGGATGCAACAATGAAAAAGAACCAAACAGAACTGTATGTCCCTTTATGATGCGGTGCGGTTAACCCCCCCCCCCACTTTAAAACATGTTCTTTTTGAGCAGTATTGTCTGTGTCTTTGTAAACAAAGCTGGAGGACAAACTGCAGGAGCGATGCACTGTATGTAGCAAGTTTTGGCCTGATTACCTCGTACTGTGGCTCCGATTCTGTGTCTTGCTCTATATTCTTAGATAATTTTAAGCCAAGACTGAAGTATGTCAATGACATTTGCTTTTTATAATCATAGTTAAATCTCAGTACAATGAAGCCTGGATAGAGAAGCAGCTGAAACCATGTAGACACAGCCCTCTCATACAAATTATGTTCTTGTTATCATTCAAATTCAAAAATCTCGGACTAAAATTATTTAACTGCAGCCTAAGGGAAACGTATTTGCTCCATCAATGTTGGGATCATTAGGTCTCTCAATAATGTCTGCAAATGGAACAGTTTAAAAGACAGAAAAACCTACTTTCATTCAAGCATAGAATACTTTGCTAACTGCTTCATTAAAGATGAATGATTATTTGCATCAGTAATGTAAAAGCTTGGCTTTGAATGCACTCTGCATGCCACTGCCTCTTGGTTCCTCTATTATTGTCACGACCTAAGCATGTAATTACTTGTGACGACCTATTAGTGCACTGAACATGTATTAACATCTAAAATTTGCAGGGAAAAGGCACTCTTGTTGTTAAACTGCATGCACTAGATAGGTTCTTCCACTGTGTTTATACATTGCTTTGTCTTTGTTTCTATTATGCAGCTGTAACAATAAAGAAGTAATTCATGGGCTGTCTTTTCAGAGAAAATATCCGATGCATTATAAAATAGCGCTGATCATCAACTACTTAGGCCATTGCATCTCTGTGGGAGCTCTTGTCGTGGCCTTCATTCTCTTCTTGTGCTTAAGGCAAGTACAAAAATAGTGCATATTTCAAACGTGTCCTGTATGCACCTCATGGAAGACAATCAGTGAAATCCACATCATACTCACACTGCTTATCATTAACTTGCTTATGTCAGATGAATAGAACTCTGCAGCTCAGCCGCGATGGAGCACTCAGGCACGGAAGGGCCTAATGTGCGTTTCCCAACACTTGTGTTTGAAGTTGTATCTCTTTTCATATCCTGGCTTCAAAACACACACACACACACACACACACACACACACTCCCACTCGATATATCAGTTATGACAAAAGAGGGCAAACACCAGCATCCTGAGATACTTTGTGTACTGAGGTTAGATCAATATGGGCAAATACCGATTATTTCATGGAGACTAAAATAGTTATTGTCTTCTGAGGTTAAATCTCCCTAGACTTCACAGAAAAATGAGCAACTACTTCTCCACATATATATTTATTCTTGGCCATTTCGGGAAATGCATTTGAAGAATCACCTGCAACTATAAGTCAGTGCTAAATCTTGTACAAAGATTAACTTTCAGCAGTGTTTTAAAGCTGAAGATGTCTACATTAAAAAAAAAAGTAAAACCCTAATTTGCATGAAAGTGCCTGTTCCCTGAGTCATAACTGTGTCAAATCTGAGCACACAAACATTATACATGCATTTTTAGAGTGAGCACACTTTTAGTTTATGATGAAGTTTTATGTAGTTCGAAACTAATCTCGTAATAATTGCCTGCAAACAGGAACTGGCAACTGGAAAAAATTGATTGGCCTAAAAAAGGCTCAGTTTTCACACACTGACTGCAATTACAGAACTGCCAGAAAATTGATCAAAGGTGTAAAAGCCAATAACCAGGCAAACCATTACAGCGGCTTCATCCCAAGTCTAAACTTATTCTGTCAATATTCCAGCCTATAATGTCATCTCACTGTGAATAAACTGTCCTTTATTTTTAAACTTTTGACACTTAGACAATGATGCAGGAGAGCACAAAAGAAGCAGAAAAAAAGTGCCTTGTGAAATTTTAAGACATTCTCTAAACACATATCAGGAGGCTGTCAAGGCCTTGAGAAACAAATGCTTTATTTATTTCTCCTTACGCCAACAGATGAAGGATCCTGTTCAGCACTATCAGTTTTGTCCTTAACCACACTGCCTCTATCTTTCCAAGTCGTTCTCCTGCATTGTGCGACAGCTTTCTAAATTTTTTCTTCATACGATCTCACTTCTTAGAATTAATGCTGCATTGTACAACTGGTTCAAAATGCTGACTTCTGACAGGTACACCGAAGCACAGTCAGAAGCACAGTCGTATTTAGCCCTGTCTTAAATCGCAACACTGGCTTCCTGAGACATACAGGTTGAATTTCAAAATATTGTGGCTCACATA